ATGTGTTCTTGGTGAGGTCCTTGGTAAATTGGCAGTTTTAAAACCTATTGTGTTCCAAATGACTGACACGTCCCTTATGAACAGTCATTTTTCTGGTTATTATTATTATGTAAGTACAATGTTTACAGCTGCATGAAATACATTAGTGATACATAAAAGACAGACAGACTGTTGGCCTGGACACTCCCGAGATAAAATGCCTCGAGGACTGTTCAGTTTGTTCCTCTGTTTACTGATCAGTGCCAGGGCAATAACAAAAGACTGATTAACCCAATACCAGCATGACCTACTTGTTATATAGGACTATATCAGGTCTCCATACATAACTACTAGGTATGCGGATGGTATCAAGTCCATCATAATCATCTTTACTCCACCTCAGGTATGCATCGACCCACACCAGACGTATCCACAAATACGCTGTCAGAATTTGGTTTCGCTCATCCTGCAGATCATCAACGACAAGTAGGTTTAAAACACAAACAGGACAAAGTGGTTCAAATGTTCAGAATCAGAATTTCTCACTCTGTAGATCAAAATATAAAGCCTCTCAGTATCCCTCCATCTTAAATCTCAAATGTAACCCCCCATCATCCCTCCTCTGCCCCCTTCCTCCAGTGTTTTACCATGTCGATTATTTGGGACAGTGTAACCTGCAGGGTGACATTCAGGATGTTTTTGGTGTCCTCCACAGGCCTCAGTGCACTGGTGTAGTTGGTGAACAAATCATTTCGGAGCATTTGTGCGTACTTCCCATGTGCACACCAACAGGCTGCGAGACAAGGATAGAAATTGGTTACATTTAAATGTCTTGACAAATGGCTTATTTTTTAACAGCCGACTTTTCAGTACAGATAGTCATGATAAAAACTGATTTTTCACTATTTTTAGTCCTAGAGATTTTCCAATTCCAGCAGCTTAACCGAGGCAACATAGAGGAAGAAGAAAAGGTCAGAACATGTGGCCGTGTGACAGATGGTGGACGGGGACAAAGGGGTCGTTGGATTAGACAGCCTATAAGGCCTGGTAAGAGATCAGGCAAATCTGACTTGATGGATCTGCCTGTGTATATTTGCTGTGACATGTGTTGAATAAATGCTTAATCCTCTGGATATACAATATGAAAGTATCCAAATGAGCCTGAGCACGGATTTAAACATTCACATCCTACATAAAAAGGAAATCAAGGAAATAGAAAAACATTATGAAAACACGTTGATTCCTTATCATGTCTGTCTGTTGATCTTTACAGACAGAATAGCACAGAACAGTCAGTTGTTAAATTATATAACATGATACTTGAAAAGCTGCATGTTTTCCGTGTTACATTTACATATGGTTTTCAAGATACTAAGTTAAGGTTTAAGATGTTCATGTCAACCAAATCTCAAGTGGATTAAAGTTGTAGATATAAAACTGTATTTTGAGAAAATGTATCAATCATAATTGAAAATGATTTCAACACATTCATTCATGTGCATTGAATCATAACTTTTTAAATATTTAATATTACTGTTCATATAATTTACATACAATAATAAATGCATTAGTGTGAATGGAAATTAGAGTCTTTGCTGACTCATGTGTACCTGAACTGCAACTATAAGGTAAAGGACACAAAAATTGAACAACTTCAAACTTACTTGGCAAAATACTGACACACAGAAGCGACAGAAATACAGTGTGATGTCTCCATCGTTTCATCTTGCAGAAACAGAAATGATCTAAATCCAACTTCAGTGACACACAAGTGGAATTCCAACTGACATGTAGAGGGTGAAGAAAAAAAAAACCTAAATAAGGTTACATTAAATGAATTATTTGAAACATAACAACTGTCCAGCAGCAGCAATCCGTTTGTGATTTGGACGTGGATGGACGCCATAAGAAAAGCGATGGGCGGGGCAGGAACGGAGTGAAGGAATGAGCATTCAACACACACACACACACGCAAATAAAATACACACAAATGAACAAATAAACATACACATATACAACACACGTAAACACAAGGTTATTGGTAATGATCTGATTTATTTAGACACCACGGACAGCTCCCCTTCTCACCCTCAGTAACGAACCGGTTATACTGTATTTGCACATTACTGCAGACACGGTAAACCACTTTATTTCTCTATTTTACATCTATCAAAAATATGTTTTCCCGAAGCTTAACGTTATAAACGCACATTGAGAGATAATCACAAACCTAAACACGCAAAATCCCCCAGAATCGGCAAAAAAAAAAATTAAAATTAAATTTTAAAAAAAATCCCCCAGAATCGGCAAAAAAAAAATTAAAATTAAATTGTACGTGTTACATCACTTGTAGTAACACAATAAATTCAGTTTGTGTGAAATTGTCAATTAAATGAGGGGCTTGGGTTATTCACGTTTGGCTAGGCTACAGCGGGGAGATAACGGTGCGTCACATCAGACGCGGATTAATGAGCGTGTGACTGCATTTACGCACGCACGCAATATTCGCAGCGTTGAACGTTCTCTTCCGGTGCCGCTGCTGTGTGATATACAGAGACTGCAATTGTCTCCATCTGAATGCCCTTTTGTAACGGGCCACGGCTGTAAATATTTCTCTCTAAAACAAATCACTCATGTCGCAGTTACTTAAAATCTCATGTGTGGAGACGACAATTCCTCCATCCTTTTTGAATAACCAGGTCTATTCTGCAGCCTGATATCAGGAACATAAACTGTCGCTCCATCTACATTAGCACAGATTTGTAAACGGTATTTTTTTTAAATACAACAACGCCCTGTGGGTAAGTTCAGTGTCTTTTGTTCAAATGTAAACATTGTTTTTTTCACTTTGCGTTGTCTATTGTGGATTACAAATGTATCGAATGTTCATATTGTGTACATTCATCACAGCTGTTTAATCGGCAGAATATCGAATTTAAATATCGAAAGTCTATTACACATTTCAAATCCCTTTCTTACCACTCATCCGCTACGGTTATGGTCTGGTTTTATATTTATGTTTTGTGTAAATTAAATGATTGTTATTTCATTATATTATTATATTTATATCTATTATTGATTTACATTTTCAAAATAAACTAAACTCAACTAATAATTATTCTGCTCAGTAATAATGAATGGAGGTTTGTTTAATAGTTATTAGGGCATTTTTACTGTCACACAAGAACGATAATATAGTAGATTTGTTTGTGAAATAATTAATAATACAAACTTTTTTGTATTTTTACTTGCAATTTCAGACCAAGATGCTGCAAGGGTCAGACACCTTTGTCTACGAGAGACCCCTGGTGGTCAGGGTATCATTTTCAACCTGTGTCCTGGCCACTGTGTTTTTACCGCTGCTCGGTCTAATATTATGTGTTTTTATATCGTCTGTCTTTCATTTTGAAGACTCCACAGGGACACATTGCCAGGTACTGTTTTTTAACCTTTTGGTTTTCTCTAATTTCTAAATAACTTTGGGAAAATATAATCATATCTGTGTCTTTTAAGGTTTCTAACTACCTTCCATCTATCAGTGCCTCAATCAGCCTTAGTCCAGAATGCTATATATGGCGCTTCTGCATTGGACTGCACTCAGCACCAAGGTTACTGGTGACATTTACCTACTTCAAATTCTACAAAATGCGTTTTGCCTCCAAATACCCCGAGGGTCCCCTCAGCTGTTTGAACCTGGCATTTTCTCTTCTGGAAGTCCTCGGCCTGTTGCTGCTCACATATGTATCTTCTAGTGAGACGTTCTGTGAGTAATCTAAACATTTTCACATTGTAATAACCATACAAACTATTTGTTGCAAAGACTTATAATAATTCATGCTTTTCTTTTGGTCCGTAGTTGTTCATAAGGAAGGTTTCGTGATGTTCATCATCAGTTCCCTTGTCTACATGCTGATAACCTGCCGACTGTGGAAGGCTATAAGAAAATATTCACTGAGTCCTGAGGTCAGCACATGGTTTTGTCTTGGACAAGTAATTCTTTGTTTAGGGAAAAATCCAAACTCTTAAGGATTTCACCAGAAAGATAGTTTTCTTTTTAAATTGTCCAACTTATGCAGATAAAGCCAGGAGAAACTTTTAGCACATATTGGATTGATAGAAGTTAGCCAAAAGATAATCACATAAATAGCAAACAGATAAGCCATTAATATATATATATATGTATATATTCTTAAGGCTTTTCTGAGTATTCGGGTTTAAACTGACTGTATAATGTAGTAATACAGAGTATTTAATTGTTCTATTTACAGGATGCTAAATCTCATCACTGGAAGGTGAGATTTCTACTACTCTACGTGTCATTCTGTGCTTTCGCTGGATTCTTTTACTGGAAACACAACATGTACTGTGAATCTGGGAGTAAGTATGACTATGACTTTGAACTGGCTCAAATACTGTAAATACATTTTGACACATACACCAAAGTGTGTCTACTATGCTGCAGCCCTACATTGAATGGTAACTACATTTAAAAATAAAAATAAAAAAATTATCTCAATCTCTTCCTGACAGCTTACACCTTATTTGCCCTGTTTGAGTATCTCATCGTTTTCTCCAACATGGCCTTTCATCTCACAGCTGTTTGGGATTTTAAAAGTCGCGAAGTCATGGTCATCTCCTCCTCTGAAGATAAAACCTTCTGACTAGAGACTCAAGGACGCAGTGCTAAACATATCACTGCTTAACCAACTGATGATAGCAGCCTTGATCCCACTCAAGAGGAGGAGTTTGACAAAGGCCTTTTCCATATATATCTATGATGACAGCACCTGGAGTCTTGTGCGGAGCAAAATGACATTTTGCACATATTCAACAGATCAGTATGTATAGGTATTCAGTGTTTATAAAGTGTTTTTTTGCAAATTTTTGTTTTTATAAATACAGGTGTTAACCAACTATGTGTCAGAATATAGTGATGATTTCTTTACCATTAGTTTTAAAAAAAGACAGTAAAAAATGTATTTGTGTGTTTTATTTACATCAGTCTGATTTCCATGAGGTATTTCAATGAGCATTTAATCCAATTTTAATAATATAATTTCATATAAATATATGAATGTTTGATCTATTATTTCTCAATTCCAAACTCGTATAATTATAATATAATATAATTCAACCGTGTTGAAATATAGCCACAGATTTTACAGTGTGATTACCTATACTATCCAGTAGATAGCAGACTTGAGCAATTTGTGAAACGTTACGAGATGGCGTTTGCTGACGTTAACTAGACTGCAGAAGAAGAAACTGCAGAAGTAATTGCGTATAAATATGTAAATATATATGTATATAATTAATAATAAAAACACGTTCGGCAATATTATTCAATTGTTAAAAAACACACAGCAAATAGCTCAAAGTCACAGCAACATTGTCAAGGAGTGAGAAGGTGAAGCAAGAGAGCTAAAGAGGTTAGAAGAAGAGTTAGATGCCAAGCCGTCAATAAGCAGTTACATAAAGCTAGCAATGAAAGGTCCAAATTGGAATTTTATTTGTTTAGATTTTTCGTCTCAAGTCAAACGCAATTTTCTTTCTGACCACGTAACGGCACGTCTTTGGTGGTTTTTATTTAAATGTGCAGTATATGATTTATCTCATATTTCTCAATGAAGTTGTTAATGTTAAACGTGTATACTACTGGAAACAAAGTTAAATAAAATAGATACATTTCACACTGTCCCGTTTGATCCAATTGCAATGGAAGAATCCCCACGTAGGGGGCAGTAATACGCATTTAACGTGTTTAGCAGCGAAAACCTGCTGTAACCAACGAAGCTGAAGAAGAGCGCGTCGTTCTGCGGCTTTTTCGTTTCTCTCTTTGCTGCTGTTCCTCTGACAGTGGTCAGGAGATAACACTTCTTTTTCCGTGCAGGAGGTGGAGTTTATAACGCTTCAACTCTAGGGAACCAGGCAGCTGCTGCAATGTTGACACAGAGCTGAAACTACACATCTGCTGGCTCTTACATGACAGGGTAACTTCACCAAATATCTTTGATTTGTTTTATGTCGTACACATACGTAACAGCAGTTTGACAGTGGCTAAAACTACAGACGCGCCTTACCGTGTCTGTGGGACCTACGGTAAGCTAACGTTAATGGTGACTTTTATACGTCTGTGTTAACAGGCGACTCGACGCCGACAGGAACACAGGCGAAATATAAAATATTAATTTTAAATCGTGTCGTGGTGGGTCTTTGTCATTTTACCCCACTTCCTTTTGAATATTACACCTCATTTTCTAGTTAGCAGAGATTGTTAGCAAGCTAGCCTAGCATATGGTTGTCACACACGAAAACGGGCGCAGACAAAATTAGCCAATTGTACTTTAAATGTTATGTTATTCTCTCTTATGTCTATCTTTGAATAACACTGAATCCAACTAATGCCTTTAATCTCCATGTCTTCTGTGATTGTAATTTAATGCACCTGTCTAACAGGAAATACTACACACATCAGCTATAATCTATTTGGTGTTCCTGTCTTATAACCGGAAACACATCCGCGATATTATTCTTGAGTTAGATTCGTTGTTTGGTTAATGAATCAGAACAGAACAGAACAGGACATAATATAAGATTTCTTTTGATGATGTTGGAGGAATACAGCTACACAGAACTGTGGGTGCTCTTTGCTATGGCACACAGTGCTGATAAACAGTCACTCAGATGAGTTGATAGGGTGATTTTCCTATATGCAGTGAGCTGTTGATAGCAAAGCTCAGTCATTGTTATTCACGTGTTAAAACTTGAAAAGAATTACTGGATTTTTAGTGTACATGTACATTTGTAAACCACAAGAATTTGCACATTTTCTATTTAGAACAACAACAATTCTCAAAGTTAGCCAGAATAGACTGTTGTCATCTACGCCAGTGGCTTACAATCTTGCAGATGATTTCTGTTTAGTGCCGTTCCTTAGAGGCCAAATAAATTGTGAGGTCTGTTACTGTAGGGTTACCCAGCATTACCGTTATAAAAGACACATCATTGTAATTATGTTGTCGCAAGTAGCAAAAATTGCAGGTGGAATAGTAGCCATCAGAACCATGATGTGACACAGATATGGTGCGGTAATGCAAAGCCATAAAACTATTGTTGTTTGAAGCTGTGGCTGGCTTAAATAGGTTAAACATTATTATATGTCTCTGTTTGAAACATGCTATCTTTCCATTTTTCTTGTTAACTAATTCTTTATAGATGTAAGGACTTACTGCAGACACACCTAAATATGACTAACCATGTCCCTTTTAAGATGTCATATGTTAACAAAGGCCTACATTGTTTTCAGTTGTTGAAGGCATTTAAATTGATTAAGCAGAATTGAAAAATAAGACAAATATGTTATATTGCAGTTATGTAATATTTCCACATTTCTTTGTTGTCTGTGTTCAACAGCACACACCAGTCATGGAGTTCTACAAATGCGTGACCCTCTGGATATCCTGCTTGTGCCTTGGGAATTGTTTGACTGACAAAGCCAGTTCATCCACTCAGGACAGTCAAACAGGGGATAATTTTATCTCAGGTGAGTAATCAGCGACTGCATTAGTCTTTGCAGTTGCAGAGTAAATTTTTTAACAGTACATCTGTCAAGCCAAAATTCTAATGACAAGTTGGCAGTCACAGTACGGGTGTTGGTGCCACATCTTAGTGGGTGTGCATGCACTAAATGCGGCGATGCTGAGAATAGTCCAACTGGCATTCTTCATTAAGCTCTGTCCTCCAACTTATTCTAGATCAACCCCCTCCTAGTTAAACAGAAGGTAATTGATCTAATGTCTTGTGAAACAAATGAGCAGGTGCTAAAGCAGTTTACTATATTTGAGTACTTAGCCCCAAGATATTGTACTATTAAGGTGCTAAAGCAGTTTACTATATTTGATTAGTACTTAGCCCCAAGATATTGTATTATTGTACAAAAACAAAAAAGCCTTATGCCTGTGCAAAGTCAAAAACTCATTTTAAAGAGTTTGTTCAAGTATTACTTGTTACAGTAAGGTACCAAGTTATGGAGGGATTTAGACATTATAATGTATAACATGACAAATTTCCTAAATCATCAGAATCCTCAGATGTTGCTTATGAAACTTACCCAGGACTCTGTGAAACACTGATTCAGTGCTTGTACAGTTGCAACTGTAACAGCAGTTGTAATTATTCAAGCCTGCCTCATGCTTTCAATATGTCTGTAGATTATTATCAAATCAATATTTGTGGGAAGGCATCACCCAGCAACAACATACAGGTGTCAATGTCTTGGTTTTAAAATGGTTTCTTGTTATAGAAACAATGTTAATGTTAACGTTAATATTAAAATGGTAACTTTGTCATCAACAACCCTTCTCTGCAAACTTTCTAAGTTAACCTTAGTTTCTACTTCTTAACAGTGTGGTTAAACACCGTCATTGCTCAGGTTTGTCCCAGTCACTTGTATGGCTTTTGAATGAAAGGAAGTTTTATTAACATGTTGCGACAGACCCTTGAGGCCCCGCTGTGGAAGAAAAAGGTCACTATCCTTTCCTATGATTGTTAGGACTTAAAGAGTAGGTGAAAAGTGAGATTGTAAGAAATGAGGGACAGTTGTGAAGTGGCAAAGTTGAGGCATTTGTTCCTCATAATTGCAGATACTAAGAAGGATCTTCTTCTTTCATGTCAGTGTCTAATCTGGTGCCTCTGTGGTTTGCAAGCCAAATGAGAAATGAGGGCATTCTGGGTGTGTTAGTCTTGCAGGTGGTAGCTTTGAATGGCATAACTGTCCTTTTTTTAAGGCGGTGAATGTGAGTGAGAGAGTGCTTGAAAATCTAGTTTCCCTTTTGGTATGTGGCTTTGCAGGTTTGTCTGAAGCTGAATTGTTTGTTCAGTGTAGCACGATGTAAAGGTTAACACATGCTTTGCATTCTTTTTGCTGTTCCATTTTCTGCTTTGTCATTTTTTTTGCACAAAACATCAGTATATATGGTACAAATTGGTTTGAGGTGGAATTTCACCCTGTCACTGTCAGAACCATGAAAACAACATTCCTGGATCTGTTTGAACAAGTTTGTGGTTAGTGCTAAGATTGATGGTAGGGTAGTGTTAAAGGACAAATACATGATACAACTCATTTATAAAAGTAAGCATTTCTTTTCCTGCAATCACAAAGATGGTTCAGAAAGTGTTCTGAGTATAGCTTAAAACTTCATAAACATCAAATTCCTAAAAAACGTAACCATATTACCTTATTGGCACTGCTCTTTTACACCACACATCAACTTTTAAATTAAAACTTCACCCAGATAAGTGTTGGATTTAGTCAGAAATAGGGTAAACATTAGATTCATAATGCTAATTCCCCAGACAGTATAATGCAATATACATTTATTTTTTAAATACATTATCCTTTCTCTTGATATAAGGTACACTTTTGTGAGCTCTTCTTACTGTAGTTTTACAGATCACTTGTATGGCAGGTAGACCACTGTGCCATTGCGAACAGTTTAAATAAGTGTATGCAGCTCATGCCAAACAAAGTTTCCTCTTTGTGGGAGCGGCAGTTTCTATCTCTGATCTATGTCACAGGATGTGTTATTCCTCAGGAATGAGAGGGAACACACATGGCAGACGCTGTGCACTACATAATTACCTGTTGTTAGATTACATAATTATACATCCTTGAAACACATTTCTAAAAATAATCAGGGGGCCTGCATGCCATTTCCATGCTATTTAAAAATAAATGATTTGTAAATCAATACATGTTTTAACCGTATGAAAAAAGGGAAATGAAAATTCAGTGCTACATCCTGTATTTGGTTTACGTATTTGAGTTTAAGTGTCATCCTCATATTGAAACACAGTAAATTTGTAATAGCTCTGTTTGCAGCTAAGCAGTTTTACAGTTCAGTAATCAAGAGTAAGAAAGTGTTGGGGAAGCAATCCAACGGAGGACTTTGCTTCCACCAAAGGTCAAAAAGCCTTCAGGCCATCACATGTTTGAGTTAAAAGAGTCATTATATTAGTGAACAAACACAATTATTTCAGTCAATGCTACAGGCAAATATGCGTGTCCAAAATGTGGTGAAATGTATTACATTGTTACCGTCAACCTTTTGTTGGAACAATATCGAACAAGAATATATATATATTAATGTATATACTGTATAGTGTATATATAGAGAGAAAGTCTATATATATTTATGTATATATATATATAATGAATGTTATTGTTATCAAAATGTCACAATCATTTTCCTTCAAAGAAAAAAAAACAGAAAAGACAAGCTGAAGCTCTTTTTACACTGATCTTCAGGAGTTTGACCATCTTTTTTGGTATTGTAAAACCTGCATAGGATATATAAAGGTGAACCATTATGGTGTTTATGTACAAAATAAAAACAGCATAAACTAGAGTTTGATTATTTTTTTCGTTACAAGTTATCGACGAAACACGTACTGTATTTGAAGGATTCCGTAACACCATTTTGAAAACGACTCCTCTGTTCCTTCAACAGATTTCTGTCGAATCGATGCGTTGCTGTGTAAGGATGAGAATGCACTGCTGAGCTTTGAGGCCATTCGTAGTATCCACAAGCTGATGGATGATGATGCAAATGGCAATGTAGACGTGTCAGAGACGGATGGCGTAAGTACCTGCTTTCCTGAAGTTTGATTATAATTGCCATAAGTCAGATTGGCATAACAGTGCTGGACAAAGTCTTGATTTTAAATCAATTGATTTGAGTGATGCATAAAAACAGTGTCAATTGGTTATTTGTTCTCTACAGTGAGGCCATTTGCAATTCATAGCATAAACACTTACTGCTCATTGTGGTTTACACTAAAACAATGGGTCTGTTCCTCTCTACATACTGTCCTCTTCTGAAGCATTCTTTTTGATTTTATTTTTCTATTTATTTTTTTATTTTTGCAAAACAGCATCACCGTAGAAGCCGCTCTGATTTTAGAAAACATACTTTATGTGCAAATAGGTCTGTGAGCCTAAAAGTACATCTAGGACCGTGACTATATTCCTGCAATCATAGTAGTAGAGTAGTAAGAATAGTGACTATATTCCTGCAATCATAGTAGTAGTAGTAGTAGAGTAGTAAGAATACGATTTGTAAAACACTGATATTTAAGTTAACCTAAACCATGTCCATATTAGTTTTCAGACCACTTAAGGGAAATTGGATAATTTTCTACGGTACATCCCATAATCTCTTACAGTACACAGTGGTCTCTGGTCCAAGTTGTTCAGACATGAGAGAGCAGTACTTTTCTTTTTTGAGAACTCCAAGGTGCCTTAGTGGACTACCAAAGTCTGGGTGGAAACTTTGTTCTACTGCTTTTAAAAAAGACTGTAACACTGGGCTTTATTAACAAAAGAGATTTAAACTTTGTGAGTGAGTTAGAGAATGTCTTACTCTCATAAAAGATGGTTCACATGCAATCACATAATCCTCAGTGTGTCATAGACTGTTTTGTGACCAGAACCCATTTCAATTGTCACTGTGCAGTTCCTGAGAGAAGATCTGAACTACCATGACCCGTGGGGAAAACATAACAGCTTCCACGGTGATGACCAGCTCATCAGTGTTGAAGACCTGTGGAACACATGGAAAGGTTCTGAGGTACGTCTCTAAAGGGTTTTTTTTTTGGTTTGTTTGTTTATATGAACCAACTGTGGTGCCACTAACAGGCTTTTATTTGAACTGTTTTTGTTTTTATGTGGTGAACTGAGATGTTTTAATTTGGGTACTCTGTTTTTAAATGGCCTTCTCTGTTAATGCTAACAGTTATGCTAGCTCTGTTGGTTGTAATCGCCAGACTGGAAGAATTGTAAGTGGGTGACTGTGTTTATCAGACAGACATTATCCCTATTTCACTTTGTCATTGCCCAGCAAGAGAGCAAACCATTTGATTAGATGCCTTATCAGGTAAAGTGCTGAGAGTACTTATCAGTTCCTGTCAGTGGCAAAGCAGATGTCATTAAGTCTGTCAGCACACTATTCTCACCACCTCCTTCCTGCCTATCTCCCCTGCTCCTTGAGTGTGTGTGCTTCCAGAGCACAACTCACGCACTGTAGCTCTTATCCGGTCTGCCGCTCATGTTTTTTCACACCCTTTTCTTTGGCTGCTCAGTTTTTTGTTTTGTTTTTTCTTGTTGTTGTTGAGTGCCCTTTGTTTTGGCAAAATATTACCTCATCCTGCATTGCAGCGTTTTTCACAAGTCTCTGAGGGTTTTAGAGGAAAACAGGTTTTTAGTAAACAGACAACACATTATTCAACTCGGAGAATCATCAACTTAGTGTTTGCCAGAAGCTTGTGTATTGCCTCCAAGCCTTCCTAATGTTTTTGTGTTGTCTTCATGCTGTCCTTAAACTCTACAGCTTTGCTTACTATGAATGAATTAGTGTTGGTATTTAAACCACAGTTAGGAAGGGAATCAAAGCACATGGAATCACCTGCTGAATAGCTAATGATTCATACTTCTTGCTTTTAAGTCAAAAAACCTTTTCAGTCATCAGCAACTTATAAAATTATCAGACACAATAAAGGAGAATTTTCAAACATCTTATGTTGTTTTTTTTTTTTTATCTTCTCAGGCTGTATATCAGGTGCATTTTCTACTTTTTTTTTACCCTAGATGCAAGGAAGGAGTAAAGTATCAGTGTGCAAGAGTCAGACTAAAAAAACATGACATTGGCTCGTCACGTTTGTTCTTGCAATGTGGTTTGTCTTGTGGTAGAAAATTGGATATGTTTTTGCTCTAGTATCTTTGAGTACATTGACCCAGGGGTCATATCTGTCCCATTCAGCTGCAGCCTTCTCCTTTCCTTTCTTCTTCTCCTGGTCTAGAGCAACACAGAAGAATCCTCGGACTACTGTCAGTTGCAGTTGTGTCAGCATGAGTTCCAGAAAATGGTCATAGGCTTTTGACAGGAAGCTTTTTTTACTTTTGACTCTAATTAGATACAGTCACCAAATCCTTCCAAAGATTCTGACAAGATGTTTTCTTTTTTCAAAATGTTTGAATCTCCAGTGACAGGAAACCGACTCAAGGAGTTGAGAACGTCTCTGAACCACTAACACTTTGTGAAAACTCTTTTGCAGAAGCCGTTTGCAGTTTTTGGCTTCAAAATAAGATTAGGCCTAAGATAAGCTCCCGTGAATGCCTACCAACGGGCGTAAATTATTTTGGTGACTATGAAGGGTTCCGTTGATAAGCCAGTTCACGTACTCAGCATAGAGATACTATTGACAAACAACTGGCTGACAACAACTGGCTATACAACCTGTACTAATGGGTAGTAAGTCGTGTATGGGACTCATTTATCCTGTGAAATTGATATCTTCACAGCAAAATGAACAGAATGCAAATGCACCACTTTATCAACAATCTTTCAATCACCATTAAGAATGAAAGTGAACTGTGACCAAATATTTATGGTGTCATTGTTGTCTGCTTTTCCCCCAGTTTATAACTGGACAGTGGACGAGGTGGTGGAATGGCTCATTGCATACGTGGAACTGCCTCAGTACGTCGAAGCATTCCGTAAAATGAACTTCAATGGAAGTGCCATGCCAAGGTTAGTAAAGTATATTTGTAGCAAGTTGTGTGCAGTTATGTTTTATACCTATTTAAGCTAATTTTTAATTTTTTTTTTATTACCTATTTAAGCTAATTTTTAATTTTTATTATTACATTTGTTTTTAAGGATGAATAAATGAATCTGCATATATTGAAATTCTAAAAAAAAAACCACAGATGTGTTGTTGTAAAACACTTGAACTAAAGCATCAGAGCTTAAAATACTGGACTGTTTCCAGTTCCACCTATATAAAATAATGCATTGAGGAAATCACATGGAAGCAGAACTTTTTATTTCTGACTAACTTTTTTTTCCCAAGGATCGAATGTAAGATTATCTTATTATCTGAAAGTCTTTTTCTTTTTTTTGACTACGGACTCATAATTAATGGCATCCTTTGCTCTTTCTTCCTCGTTCTTTCAAAATGACTGCATGTCTGTTCTCTTTCAGACTTGCTGTAAAGAACACCACTCTCACACTGTCAATTCTGAAGATTCTGGATCGCAGCCATGTGCAAAAGTTGCACCTTAAATCTTTGGACACTGTACTGTTTGGACCTCCACTCAGTATGTAAACCTACTCTGTTTTTTTTTTTTTTTGACCTCCTATTGCAATTTTGTTGAATAACTCTATTCATTTTTGATGAAACAGGTTCATTTTTAAAGATAGCTTTAGAGTTAATTACCATTTTTCCAGCCAGTTTTATTTTTTGTCCTAAATGTGATCTCTTATAACCACTAAAAGGAAATAAGCAGGAGTTAAATAAATAAAAAAAAAACCCTGATTGCTTAGAAATGAATAGTCTGACAGTTAACAATTATCACACCACGATCTTTGATGCTAATGCTTTTTAACACAACTGCCATAGGATTTACTGGACAATTCACTTACCTTTAATGACCCAATCTAAAAACACTAAATAGTTCTTGTTACATTGTTACTTTTGTTAGGATTTGTTTATTTACTGGTATTAACCCAGAGTTATGCGGAAAAATATGTGGGCTTTCTCTTTTTTAAATCAGAGAATAATGAACTCAATATGAGACTGTTGAGTTATGTGTTATGAGTCAAAGAAATGGAAAACAATTTGCAAAACCTATTGAAGACAGTCATCTACATTGAAAATGAACTGTAGGGTGGAATAGTGTGTAGGGGTCTGTGTCTGACATCTGTTATTGTGGGGGCGGGGGGGTGCTTTGTTAGTCACATCCTAAGAAAGACATAAGCAAGGGTTGTCTGGATTTGACAGCCTCTCGAAGCCAGTGAGCTGCAGAAACAGTCAGTCCCACTGACTGAATGACTGCATACAGCAGCATAGTTTCAGGTCACATCTCATGAAGTATTATCAGCCTTATGTGGAAAGCTGGGTAATAATTAACCTCAGGACCTTTGGTGGCCAGTCCTTTCTAGAATGGCGGTTAATTAAATACGTATCATTGTAGTCTTTCCTAGTATTGGTGTGAAGCAGTGAACATTTTTTTTTTTGATTAATTTGATCTGTTTCTTTATCTCTACGTGGAAACCGTGGTTGACATTTGGGGTTAAAACCACCTGGTTGTCAGAAGAGAACTGTTAAAATAGAACTAGCTCTTTTCTGTAGATTTCTATGAAGAACATGTACAGATACTCCCATATCCTGTACATCTGGTGTTTGTTTCACATTTTCTGGAATGGAATTACAGATAATGTAAATAAGCTAAAATAATTAAAAGAAATACAATAGTTCTAAGCTAAAATGTTTTATGTTACCCAAAGAACTAACTTTTAAAATGCAGACAGCTAATTAATCAGCAAAGAATAAGACAAAAACAATTTAGCCTTGAAGAATGAGTAAAAATTATTTTCTTAACCTTTTATATAATTAGAAAAATCTTAATCATTAAAAAACATCACAGGATAAAAAAAAAACTTAATTTAAGTTAATTTCCTTCCCTTTTGTGACCACCTGTGACAACACTGCTATATTTATTTCAGGCATCTGTAATCTTAATGCAGTTAATTAGCTTCACCCAAAAAGACTGTGTTTAGTCCTAAATGTGATGGATTTTTAAAATTCAAATCTAGCTGATGTGTTGTCATTGTGTTGTTCTTCTGAGTAAGTAGAGGTGGTTTTACTGCACTGTACATTTTATGTTTGCCAGCTTGTTACTATGAACCCAAACCAGCGGCAGCTGTTCTAGGATCTTCTCTAATGAACGTGTGTTTGTTCTGGACTATGTAAGCAGGTATTCAGGAATATACACACACCTCCTGAAAGATGAATTAACACAAGCCTCAAACCACAGTCAGGGTTCAGAAATCATACAAATGTAATTCACATTAAGAGACGTGCGGCATCAGCTAACACTTAGTTCCGCTCATCATATGACGTTTAACCTGCACATACAGAGCAGCCACTGGTACTACAGAACTGTTAGCTGTCAGATTGTATTCTTCTTATGTGAAAAGGAAATTCACTTGTTGAATATGTGCAATCCTAATTTCACTTCCTTTCTGTCTCACTCCAGGAAGTAGACCTCATGATTTTGACATGTCTTTCCTTCACACTCTTTTGCAGGTTTTGCAAAAAAAAAAAAAATAAGCAAAAGAAAACAACAGAAAACATGCTTCCCTTTGTGAAGTTCGCAAGGCTCAAACTCCGCCTCTGTGCCAGATGCTGCAAGGCAGTTTTAATTTTTAGTAGTTTAGTAAGTTTAATTTAGAAACATAAAACATAATCATGGCTCCAATTGAGTGAGAAAAACTATTCTTTATGGTTAAAAACAAAAAATGATTGCCTGCAGCTATGATCTGAGTACAGATGTTTGCTAGGACAGAGCAGCGATTACGACTGATAGTAGAGTGTTGCCTCTGTTTGGTGTTATTTGCATGTTCTTCAATGGCGGACTGAAATAGACTCAGCTGGCTTTATCACGGTCTGATGCTTCCGACCTCACTCACGGCAACCGGAACTTCTGCTTCTTACTCAATTTGTGTCACTCCACTAAACATTTGTAGTATGACAAGGCTACTTAAGTGCAAGCTTGACACCACATCCTGGTGTCGTTAGGAAAGCTTTAAGCTTTTAACTGTCTGTTCTATAAGAACCTGGCTTTAAGCTTTTAACTGTCTGTTCTATGTACTGTCTGCTGTATCTGAACGGTTGTGTCTGAACAAAACATGTAATATTTATTATTCAATAAAATATTCAATTTTCTCTCTTTCTACAGTGAATAGACACAACCACTTGAAGGACTTCATGCTGGTGGTGTCGATTGTCATAGGCATGGGCGGCTGCTGGTTTGCCTACATCCAGAATCGTTACTCGAAGGACCACATGAAGAAAATGATGAAAGACCTGGAGGGTCTGCAGAGAGCTGAGCAGAGTCTACATGACCTACAGCAGAAGTGAGGGGTTTGCCCACAGTTCAGCACAGCCACACTTTTGTTCTCTACACACAATGTTATGCTCACATAACACTGTTTATGATAATAATTATAATCACAACACTTTTTACCCCCTTTGTTAAACAGCTAAGTTAGTAGCTCTTCAAGTCTTTGAAAAAAATATTTTAAAAAAATGCAGGTTGGATGTTGTAAGCTAGTAAAGCCACATTTCGACTTTTTCGTAATGGGAAGTGACATGGAGTGACAGTTTATTATCCACTGTGTGTGACAGACCAAAGCTGCTTTTATACACTCTCTGCAGCCATTGTGTACTGTACATAAAACAGAGGAGCTAAATGTGCAAGTGTCTTAATCTTTGGAACCAGACATTGAACAGACATCTTCCTGCCTACAGTGTCATACAAAGTCCATGTCATCGCCATTCTAGCAGTACTGTAGTGTTTAAAGAAAAGACAGCCAGTGTCTGCAGAATTTACAACAAGCTAGCATTGATTGCTAACCTTATCCAGAGTTCATACTGTATGTTAGCGTAGCAGAAATATAATTAAGTACGCTCTTGCAAAAACGGGGTTCCCATGTGTCCTGGAAAAGAGGGAAAATAATTTTCCAGTCATGGAAACATGTCAGATGTCTTGGGCACACTTAAATGATCCCAGAAATGCTTTTTTTTCCCTGCTTCTCTCTGGATTGAGAATGAATGCAGAAACGTAAAAAGACATGATCTTCCATGTCTGTCATACTGGGACAAAAAACACCAGTGCGGTTTTTGAGTGCTTTAGCAAACAAATGTGCTGTAAAATTCAGTTACCACCAAAGTAGTAATTGCATTTCAACTGTCAGGGGCACTTTTCAGGAAGTACAGCTTGTCATGGGAAATTGTGTGAGTGACCATTTGAGTGCCGTTTTCTGTTAAAGTAACAGCCAGAGTAACGGCTTAGAAAGGACTGCTGGTCGTCACATTGTTCTAATGGAATGGGATGCACTGCTGTTGCAACCTCGCATTCATTCCATCGTTTGTCCTACAGGCAGGTTTCCTAAATTAATTATACACAGTGTTTATGTTGTGTAAACACTGTGTATAGTTAACAGCAGCGGCTGCAGTAAGAAAAAGGTTGGGTCACTGTGGATATGAGAAGCCTCCGGGTAAAGTCATCACGATCATAGTCGGCCCAGAGAAGTCAGTCACATGCACAGACTTGCTCACTTTCTTCCAACATGCAGTATTTCACTTGCACTCTGAGTGTACTCTGGCCTCTGAACATCAGGCCATTTCTCCCTCGGAGATAAATTGACTTGTGATTAAACATTTAAAAATAAAGTATTCCAAATTTAGTCAGAGTACGTGTGAGTCGGAAGGTTGTAGCTAATAATAACTGAAGTTTATAAGACAAATCAGATTTTTTCTTGGTCTAGTTAATACCTCAAAGAATGCTGGGAATGTTGTTTCAAGCACGCACCATCTCATTTGGTTCCTTTCATGGACACCCAAACAGTTTCATGTAATACAGGCTAGCTCTGCGTGTCTATTAAAATAATCCCGCTTTGGGTTCTCAGTGATGTGGTTGTTTTAATGTTGCATTACAATAAAATATTCCTATATAATAAAAAGTCCTTTAGTTATTTTATGCAAAATCATTCACAGTGTAATTAATTTTTAATTTTTTATATATTTTTTGTTGAATAATGCTGCCTTAAGGCTAGAAATGGTTGTGTTGTAGTTAGGAGTGAAAACGCTCCTGATGGCTGTTTGTTTAATCAAGTTTTAGTTCAACATTAATATTTATTTTAGAAAATTTATAAGGCAGTGCACTGATGAATACTAACCAAGAGCCATTAGGGTTCTATTAAAGACACAATGATAAAAGTCTGTCCTTTTGAAAGGCTGCCAGGTCAGTCTGCTTGTTGGGTCTTATCTAATGTGCTTTCACCCGTTGAAACATATTCCTTTTTATCGTTATTCATTATTCACATCAATTAATCTAATTCACCTCTGACACTTCTTTCTCATTAAGCTCGTCGTTTCTGTTGCATTTTTGCTTCGTTGATTAAACCAGCCTGCTTTTATTGGTTTTAGAATCTCACTTTGTGCAGTGATGTGTTTGTCCATTGTGTCATCTGACGTCTGTTAGTGGTAGATGTGTGGGATCTTGCTTGTTTTTTGCGGATGCCGTGTGATGTGTCAGTTTTATAGTGATGTGTAACAGCTTCTCAGTTGATAGTGTGACGTAAGAAGGCAGACAAAAAGATCACATTTTCAGTGGAAGTTCTTTGTTAAAATATCTTGTTTAGTAAAGCATTTTTTTTTCAACAGATATTAAGTTGATGAGTAAATTTATGGTCGGCATTGGTGATAACAAAACAGATAAAAGCTTTTTAGAAGCAGATATTAAGCCTTGTTTACACAAATAAAAAAATAGCTGAAATTGTGAAAAAAAACAAAATTAAATTTCTTTTATCTTTTAGTGTTTTTATTTTTACAATGTTAAAGTTTCCCCTCCCTGTCACTAATGTTATTTAGTTTTACACATCCTACGGTAACTGTGTACACGCTCACACCGTGTTGTTCAATGTGCACCTGTCAGACATGCAGGCATCAGTCAAATCAACTGTTGAGACAGTTAGGAACCTGTTTTAATTCCCAGCCAGGTCAGTCAAGCACAGTGTCTGTGTGGAAAGTGTGCTTTGACATGTTGTAGGTGAGTGTGAGGAGCCAGGAAAGACTTAAAGTCTCCCAGCACCACATGCTCAAGGAGGTGGGGGAAGAAAAAAGCATGTCCTCTGTCTGTACTCACACATTTCTCTCTGATCCCTGCTGCCAGCTGCTGTCTTTCCATACCTTCAAGCAGATCGTGTGGTGGTATCAAGTAGCCAGGCCCATTCATGGCTTCCATGTAGGGAGTCGGTAGGAGGAGTCTTGGAATAGTGCTGGGTTTCCTGGGTGCCTTTTATGACACTGACCCTGTCTTTGCCCCCAATTTTGACATGACTCCTTAATGCCATGAGTCCCAGTGTGGAGGCGCAGGTTTTGGCAAAGGTGGTGATGACAATCTTTGATGATGTAAATTTGATTCTATTTGGTCCCACAACGGGGGAAAATCCACTGATTTGTAATGTTATTACCCTAATGCAGAGAGGCGATAATGTTTTAAATAATGTACAGTGGAAGTATTAGGCAAAAGCTATGACTGTGGCCAGGCTGGGGAATTGGAAACTAGTGACTTGACGTGTGAGCTTAAATGGTACCACACATTCTGACTGCTTAGACTGATGAGATGCAATGTTGGAATTCAAACATCTGTGTGACTTTTCTCTATATGAGTACTGTATATAAATAGAAAATAGCACAAATTGCCAAGCAAGTAAAATATTAGTTTACTTTTCAGCTAGGTAGAGGCTAAGGTTCGAGTTGGCCTTATAAGTTAAGCGTATCCCTAATGATGGTTTAATATTTTGTGGTAGCCCAATCCAAGTGCGTTTTGGTGAAACTGTTAAACAGTGTATATTTCTGAGTGGTCGGAAACTGGCTGAACCTGACTCAGACAAAGGTCTAACTCAAACCCCTTCAGAGACAAAAGAGAATCCACACAGAGATTAATAAAGGAAGTCCTGACATTGCAATAAACTCTGGCTGCTGCTCTTTACTCTGAGCTCCAAAGACTTCAGAGACACTGTGTCTGCATCCGGTGAGCCCTGCAATGCTGGTCAGGTGAAACATCATTTGGCAACTTCTCACTGAGGCTCTGCCAGTGCTTTTGAATCTTAGATAAAGAATGGCAAAGGTCAGGGTCAAAAGCATTAGTGGGACTGCAGAGCAGCCACATTTTCCATAGCTGAATGTCTGGATCAACTTTCAGTCCTCTGCCCTTCTGTGCTCCCGCTGTTATTGTGTTTATCCTGGTAGAAGCAGAGCGTCGCTCTCTAACGACTGAGAGATGCTATTAATTTTTGACCTTCAGTGAGAGGTGACCTCTAGGTTTGTGATATTTGCACTTGGAGACTGTTCTGTAAATGCTTGAGTGAGGTTGTTATGGCAACACCACATCACCAGCAGGATTAAAGTAACCTTTTCTAACCACAGTCAAGCAAAGCTGACATTCCCTCTTAGGTCAGATCTGCATGGATATAAAATGTTGTTTCAACTTTTATTTCCATCCAAACTCAGAGATCAAATTCCTTGTGCACTTTCTAATTGATGTTGAGCAGAGCTGTAATTATGTCATCAGTGACGTGCCCACTCATTTATAACAGAGCTCCATTTTAAGTCTAAAAATAGCCTGTGCACAAACCATGTATGTTCTGTGCACTTATGGAGCACCGAGGACCTCACTGTACTGTTCTAAAGTTACACCACAGCTGTTCCACTTCTTGGCCGCGCTCCCCCTGATGTCAGTTCATTGTGAGCTGCTGAGCAGCTGACCGCGTCTCTTTTGTTTTATACGCCTTAGTCATTGTTTCCGGTTATGCGTGACTTATGCAAATCCGACATGCTCTCCCATTACCACTGTCTATAATGCACACACATTATTGGACTGTATATGCAATCAACAACATGAAGCTAAATATTATAAGAAGATAAACAAATGTCCTTCGTCTTGTCTTTTTTTGTTAGGCTGCAAATTGCCCAGGAAGAGCACCGCTCTGTAGAGGTGGAGAAGGTGAACCTGGAACAGAAGCTAAGAGATGAGATCAACACAGCCAAGCAGGAGGCCCAACGTCTGAAAGAGCTGCGGGAAGGCACAGAAAACGAGCTGAGCCGACAGAAGTACGCGGAAGAGGAGCTGGAACAGGTACGGACCCACAGAAGACATATGCTTTCTCAAATAATCTTCAAGGCAAATTAGTGGGACTTGTATCTGCTCACATTGTATAATTCCTTTGTTGGTTTGGGATTTTATTGTGTGTTATTTTGCAGGTGCGCATGGCATTGAAGAAAGCCGAGAAAGAGCTGGAGTCTCGAAGCAGCTGGTCTCCTCCTGAATCTCTTCAGAAATGGTTGCAGCTCACCCATGAGGTTGAGGTGCAGTACTACAACATCAAGAAGCAAAATGCTGAACGACAGCTCATTCTAGCAAAAGAAGGGGTAAGAACTTCAAGTTTAAGGAGGGAATCTTGTGTTGTCAGGCATAAGTAGTATTAAAGGAGCATTCTAAAAAACTGAGTGAAGGCCCCAAAATACCAAGGAACATGGCTTTACCTGCACTTTCATACCGCTTTCCAGACATTTGGCTAGCACACCTTCACTGCTATTAATTATTTTAAATTTTGACAAATATGTCCAGAGCACCAATTGGCAATTTCTATTCATGTTTGCAAGAAGAATTGAGTTATGGCACTGCACTCCTGCTTCTTTCTGCTTAATTACATAATACAATGAAATAAATGTTATGGTCATTAATGTTTACCACTCTAGACATAGACATAGTTTAAACCGAGAGTCCGTTTATGATGTTGATAAATTTGAGATGAATGTTTGAACACGTGTTTGCACAGGCAGAGAAGATAAAGAAAAAGAGGAACACTCTGTTCGGGACTTTCCATGTGGCTCACAGCTCCTCCTTGGACGATGTGGATCACAAAATACTGGCAGCAAAGTAAGGAGATCTCATTATAAAATAATCAGTGTCTATGACGAATTAATTATTGAGAATAAATTATAATTCGTCCGTGACTGTCATTTTCTCAGACAAGCTCTGGGGGAGGTGACGGCTGCTCTGAGGGAGAGGCTTCATCGTTGGCAGCAGATTGAAATCCTCACAGGCTTCACCATCGTTAACAACCCCGGCCTGCCGTCGCTGGCCTCAGCTCTCAACCTGGACCCCGGCTTTGTAGGGGGCAGAGCGACTCCTCAGCACTTCATCATGACAGACGACATGGACGACTTGGAGGAGGATATCGTGCCTGGAACTCTGCAATGTAAGAGTTCAACAGAATCTGTCGGCCCAGTTGGGACTAGCAAACGTACACCTAAACACTCCAAGACCCTGCTGGGGAAATCCAAAAATCAGTATACATGACAATTTGGACCCTTTTTTATGATTTACTTACATTTGTCATCCCTGTGTCCTTCCTGGTGCTGGAAGTGCCGAGGGTCATGTGTCTGTGAATGAGTGTTGTTGTACAGTTGTATAATATGTACCATGTAAAGTCACATCAATTGATTTGTTCTTGGACACTTCACCCCACTTGAATGCCTTCTGTTAACTGTGCTCATTTTGGATAAAAGTGTCAATTCTTTGGCAACTTAAGACTCGTGTGACTTTTCTCTGGAACATGAACCGTTGTGAAACACACACCTGTTTTTAACATGTCTTAGCAAGTCTTAGACTAACATGGATTAGCATGCTGTGTAGCTACCGTAAACTGTTTAACTACAAACATTTACTACAGTTCTGGCATTTCTGGTTCACATGACACTCCAAATATTGCAACATTCTAACAGCTGTCTTTTTTTCTATAGTATGTTTAATTATTTTTTTCAAAATCAGACTTCATAGTCTACATAGACGCGTGGCCTTTTATACAAGGCTTCTGAGCAGTAAGATCTACTTTTGTTTACATCAATAGGTCCCATGACCTACTCCTTTATTCAATAGCACAATAATATGTCTGAGCTGCCACTGAACTGCTACCATAACCACTTATCTCTCACATGCTTTAGTATGTCAGGTAGTCAACTATGTTATGCAGCCTCCGGTTACGATTTGAAGTTAAAAATGAATCTGTCAATTTAAAAAGTGTAGGTAAAAGTTGTCCTGTAGAGTCCCTCTGCAGCAGCTGTAGTGAGTAAGTCTTTTTGATGGACATTAATTGCACTCCCTATCTCACCCGCTTCTCTCCCCCTCCACTGTCTTTGTGGCATTTGGCTCCCACTGCTGTTTCATTGGCCTAACTGCAGATGGCACCAGACTGCTGGAGCGGAGAGCCAGTGACCTGTGGTCCTTGGGTTCAGACTGTCAGCCCGTGTGGAAACAACCTGGTTGGCCATTTATTCATGCTCCCTCAGTTCAGCCCTCAGTCTGACACCCCTCTCTGACACCCCCGTCACCTCACCCCTGACTTACAACCACACAGAACTGTGATCCTTTTTGAACAGTAGTGTGTAGTACAGTAGGTAGACACAAGTGAAGTGAAGCTGAAACATCCTAACAAAGCTTTGCTTCAGTTGCTTGTCACATTTACTCCCTCTTATCTTAACCATCACCCCCTCCTAGGTGTTCTCTCCATTTCTCCCCTCACTCTTTTCACCACCATGTTTATTCTTAAGGGCACATCCCTCCATTATAGTGTCAGTTATTGTCAGTAATCTTAGTTTAGCTGATTATCTGAATGTGGTTCTACTGACTCCCCCTGCAGCCTCCCTCCTCTGTCAGACTGTTTGTATTGGTTGATAATGCTGTTGTTTTGTGCTTACAGCTCCCAGTATGATGTCCCTGCGCCAACGCCACATTGACCCCCAGCTGGCCATGGGCTCCCAGAGGTTGGTAGAGAGTTGCCTGTCGGCGGGGCAGCAGGGAGAGGGAACCTCACAAACAGCCAGATCTAGGGCTCGTAGATCCCGTAGCCACTCGTTTGGGCAGCTAGAGTGTCTCCCTCTTCCTCCTCTTTCCTCAGCTTTGTCTCACCCCAGCGTCATCTGTACCGCCAACCCGAACCCACAGTCCCTGTCCTCTCTGCTCTCATCTTCCTCCTGCCTACCCGGCTCTGTGGGTGGCAGCGTAGCCTCTCATTCTTCCCATTTATATCACAGCTCTTTCCAGCCCATGGACCCCATTCCTGATTTCTCAGACGTCTCCCAAGCACACAACAGCCTCGGGTACCAGTTTCTTTCCATTTTCCACACGCATGGGCGTGTTATATTTTTTATTTATTTATTTTTTGCAGTCATCAATTTTAACCCTTATCATTTATTATTTTCCAGCCTCTTCTTTGTGAGTCAGTGCTTGATGCTTTATTAAGTTTTTCTTTTTTTCCCCTTTTCTGCTCCTATGACACATATTGCACCGCCCTACACTGAAAACATTCTGCTCTTCCTTGCTCGCCTCAGTGTTCCTGCCGCTCCATGCTTGCTCGACTAACACGTGTGGATTTCCAGTACCTGGCCAAAGTGTCCATGGCTTCGTAGGAATAGCCTAGATAAGCCCAAGCATGAACCTTGCATCCTTTTTTCCCCCCACATATTTTCTAATTTGTGCTTTTTTATCCCTCCCACAGGGACCTGAATCGTTCCGACTCTGACTCCTCCCTGTCCTTGTCCCAAGTGGGCGATCGATTGTCTGCCTACAGCTCCAAAGGCCACCTGATTAAACCCACATCTCTCATCCACGGGCTGCATGGTCGAGGAGAGGACAGCGTCTCATTGCACGGCTTCACCCCCAACGGTGGGAACCGCATACATGAGGGCAGCCCCCCTGAGACGGTCACCGACAGCCCCCTCCTCATGAAGAAGCTGTACGGCATGGAGCAGTCGCCCAGCCTGGGCGACATCAACAGCATGTCGGAGTCCTCCCGCTCCCTCAGCCCCAACTCCACTGAACCCGACACGCCGTCGCCAACAGGAGGCCAGGTAGGTCTGTCCAAGGGCAACAGCCGCATCCCACAGCTGTCTTCCAAGAAGAGCCCCCTGGAGGAGGACAGTGGCTCAACAGGAGAAGAAACAGATTCCACTGCCAGCCGCAAGAAACACACCTTCAAGATCTTCAAGAAGCCGAAGAAATAAGGGCTGTCTGAGTTGTTAAATTGTCTGACTGTATTCCTCTGGTGTGGTTTGTTGGAAAAAAAAGACACTTGGGGGTCTTTACAGTAGAATGACGGCACAATTACAATAGTTGTTGGTGCGTCTTTGTGTAGGTGTGTCACGGTGTACGACGCCTTCTTTAAGAAACTGGACTGTAGGAGCAAAGCAGCTGCTCTGTTTTACAAGGTCACTGGGTCAAATGGGTGGATTTGTATAATGGAATGTAAGGTACTATTTATTCTGCAGGTAAACTGTGCCGCTCTCAGCGCTGCTGTCCCGGTTGGGTTTTTTTTTTCTTTTCTTCATTTACAACCTATAACGTTTTGCATGTCTTCTCTCGTTTTTGTTGGACTGATAACTCGAATGCTTTAATGTTTGCTCGGTTCTTCTGGTCTACCTGCCTTGGCGACACTCGATGTTTCTTTGATAACTACCTAACCGCTTAGCCTTGGAATCCAAAGTGAATGTTCCCTCCTTGAACTTTTACCCAAGTATTTATTCCTTTTAATATATTGACCGTAAAATTATTTTTCCCTTCTTTTTTCCCCGACCCTTGTTGCAAGAACAAAAACACATCCAAAAAAAATCATCATCAAAGTGAAAAGTAAATAATCAGATTTGTTATTTGCCTCAAAATGTTTTACGCTCTATTTTAAATGATTGTGGTGTAATTATATTTGTACAGCATTGTGTTGCACACACGAGCATGACATCATCTGTTTTACGAAACATAGTCGAACACAATAACCACGCTTCTCAGCTGCAAGATGACTTAAACATTCAGTTTTTGGAATTTTTGGTGATGGTTTTAAATGTTTATTATATGAGTAGATCGTTTAAAGGTTCAGCTTTGAGCTTATGCCAAAGTTAATGCTGACTTTTATATTGAGCTTTATTTAGTTTCTCACTAATTAATGACAAAAAGTTTGACTCATTCAGGGTCCTTGTCATCCCATTGTTACCAAAATCAAAAACCTCAACACAATACATGTGTTTATAAACTATACAAATATTACATACAAAAAATGTTAATAGCACATCTGTATCACAGTGGATAAAAAAACTAGTAGTTTATTTATACCTCTGAGAACTTGCGCACCTGATCCCATTATTTCATGTTTTACTTCCGTTTATTTTTTCTTCTTCTGTGAATGAAATTATACAGAATGTATGATTCAGTTTAGCACAGCTTTTAGTTGCAAAGCCGTACACACTCCCTGACTTGAGTCTTCGGGCTCAGCGGCAAGTTGCTGTGATAATCAGGAGCAACCTTCGGCAGCATAGTGGAGTATAACCTTGGCTGTAATCTTTGTCTTTTTAAGTCAAGACTTTTAACGAAGCCTCCATGTGATCAGACACAGGCTTCAGTTTGTATCGATACTAGATTTCCTACACGTCTGTTCATGCAGTGGCTGACGTTGCTTATTTAGCGTTTATTCAGAAAAATGTATCCTTACAATCCTTAAAGTTTCAGTCTAAACTACAGCTATTACTACGTGGATGGTGATTTTTAAATACTGCTTGTTTTTGACCAGTGGGTGGAGACCTTGTTGTCATCTGCACAGAGCTGGATTTTAACCCAGACTCACGCACTAGACAGCTCACACATGTCCTTTTTACGCTATGCCAGTCCCACAGTCAACCCTAAAAAAATGAATTTATTATTCTGATGTTTGTCTGAAGCCAAGGCTGTAATATTTAACCTGTCCTGTGTCTTGTTAGTTCTCTTTTGAAAATGATTCGGGAGAAAGGAAGAAAAAAAAAAGTTTACAGCTGTCTCTTTCTGGGGGTGAGCATTGGTAAGGGCTAAACTACAAGACAAAAACCCTCACTCTGTAAAGGGCAGAAAATAATAATAATAATGTAAGTCAATGTCTGCGGACGCTCCAGAGAGCAGGTCGTTCAAAGTCTTTGTGCCAAATTTCCACTCATGTCTTTGTGGTGTAACAAGCAAACAGGAGAAAAACAACAACAACATCACGGTATAAACTGGATTTCCCAAATGTTCACACATCTCTCTGCACTCGTACTGTTCAGTCTGTCGCCAGTACTTCCTGTCGGATCACCGCAGCAGTGCCAGTTTACAAAGCGCCGGCTTCAATCGAGCACTGAACTATGCATCAGCAGCTGTTTATTAATGTAGTCATGGACATCCAAAAAAAAAAGACAACCAAAATGTGCTGGAGACGGCAGTTCAATTTATTCTGCTGCTGGTCCAAATAACCCATCTATATATCATTATAAAAACCAGCTCTAAAAGAAAAAAAAACGTTTTCCTAAAGTTACTTTTCTAAGGTGTTGTTTGTACCTCTTTTGCACGACAGCTGTAACTGTTCCATGCCAGTGGAATGAGTGGGTGAGCGATTGTGTGTGTCCGTCTGCACCCAGTACAATGCACTGTAACGTTGATGCATGTCAACTGCCGTTTTCAGACCTATATTGGGTTGAAAGAGTGGATCAGCCCGAGCTCCCCGCTCTCGTACGGTTTTTCTTTTCCTCATCTTTGAGCTTCTATTTATGAAACGCATACAGTATATTTGTACAGAGAAAAATCCTAATTTTGCATCTCCTGTGATGGTCCAGACTTTTATCCAACTTCTGCATGATAGCAATAAACTATTTTGAATGAACGTTGGGCTGATTTTCATCTTATGTATGCAACATGATGCAACCTGATGCAGCTGACGCATACGTTTTTCTGATGAGAAGTGAGAGCTTCACAGGAAACTGTTAAACGTAGAGCAGCCAATGAGAGGACAGAGTAACAGAGGTTAAGAAACAGAAAGTACAGAGTCAGTCAAGCCATAAAACTGTCTAGATGGTAAACCAGACTGAACTAATCCAAAAGCTGGAGTTTTTGGATTAAATGACCGGGATGACTGAGAACCTACACAGACTGAACTAACCAGTGAGTAAAGTAGTCCCAGAATGCCTCTTGTTGAGTGTTTTTATTTATTTTTGGAATTGAACCTTTAATTCTCTGGCAAGCTCCAGTTACAGCTGCCATTCTGGTCAAGAAGTTCAGTTTACTGCAGGATTATACCTGAATAACAACTGTAAGTGTCATAAAATGCCAAAACAAACTTGTGTTCGGTCAAAAAAAATTAAAACAAAACACTTACAAGATTGAAAAACTGGTTATGGTAGTTATCTTAGGCCTATTTACACGTGCTAAACAAAAGAAACAAACATAAATGTCAAGATGACATGTTTCTTTTTTGCGATAACTAAAACGTATTAATGATGAAGTCATAGTAAAGAAGCTGTAGACAGTCAAACAGGTGTATCAGGCTGGTGTCTCTGTCGACGTCACTAAGCTCCGCCCTGACGGAACTGCTCAGTTTATTAAAGCTGGGTGGAGTGTCAGGCTGGTAAATATTTACCAAAGCCTCCATGTGTGCAAGGCGGAGCAGGATCACAGCCGGATCTTGTGGTGTGTAGTCTTTTCTTAACTTTCAGGTCACTTTAATGGAGAGATTAATGAAGACTCTGTTGGACCATGGATTACCAGACTCTGTGCAGATACCTGTGTCACCTGGTTTGTCTCAGTGTGAAGGTAAAACGCTCCTTTCTCCCTTTGG